TGGGGCCAGTCCTGTTTAACATCGTTATCAGTGATGTGGATGAGGGGATTGAGTGCTCTCTCAGCAAGTTTGCAGATGACACCAAGTTGGGAGGGAGTGTTGATCTGAAGGTAGACAGCCTCTGCAGAGAGGTCTGGTCAGGCTTGATCAATGGACCCAGGCCAAGTGCATGAGGTTCAGAGAAGGGCAACAAAGCTGGTGAGGGTTCTGCAACACAAAAATTATGAGGAGCAACTGAGGGAACTGGAGTTGTTCAGTCTGGAGAAGAGGAGGCTGAGGGGAGACATCGCTCTCCACAGCTCCCTGAAACGAGGGGACAGCAAGGTGAGGGGCTGTCTCTTCTGAACTAACAAAAATGGCCTCAAGTTGCGCCAGGAAGGTTTAGATTGGATATCAGGAAAAACTTCTTCACCGAAAGGGCTGTCAAGCACTGGAATGGGCTGCCCATGGCGGAGTCACCATCCCTGGAGGTGTTTAAAACCCATGTAGATGTGGCTCTTAGGGCCGTGGTTCAGTGGTGGAGTTGGCAGTGCTGTGTTAACAGCTGGACTTGATGGTCTTGAAGGTCTTTCCCAACATAAACGATGCTGTGATCTGTCAGGTCAGGGAAAAGAAATAAGTGTGAGATCCCCACGTGAGCGATAACTCTGCTTGGAGATTGGTTTATTTTTGCAGTTTGAGTTACTTTATTTTGCTGTTTCAGAGGAGCCCTTTCACTTGACAGCAGTTTTGCTAGGGGGGGCTGTAAAGGACAATATCTGTATGAATTAGGCTGGAAGTGTACATTACGACTTGAGTAGACAGAATCACTGCCTAAATCTACCCTGTAAGAGTGGAGAGCCTTTGTCCTCTTTCCCCCAGTCTCACCCCCCCCACATTAAGTGAAGTTTGAATGACTTCCCCCCCCATTATTGTTCAGGTCTTGATGTAAACCTGATTTTAAGCCTGGGGTGGTTTTGACATTGACTTGTTATTAGGACACAGTATTTATGCGCCGTGTTCAATACACAGTATTGAACTTCGCACCTCGTAACGAAAGGTTTTAGGCTTTTGGGTTGGGTTTTTTTTTTTTAAAGACGAGCTGTGGGCTCCACAGAGAGCCCTCCAGCCTCTTTCTAACGCAGCGTTGGAGACAAATACACGACGATCTCAAATGTTTATTTTCGATGTGTGTACATAGGACAGTATTATGCAATAAATCCGATGTTCAATTCTGAGCGAGCGGCTGCCTCTGTGCCGGGAAGCGCAGGTGGGGCTGCCCCAGGCCCGGGTCTGGCCGTGCCTCTGAGCATCTGGAGGAAGGGCCCTGCTGCCGCTGAGGACCCCAGCCCAGCCTCTGCGTGCTCTGAAGGCCCCCACGGCTCCTCCAGGCCCGTGGTCTCTCCTGCCCAGCCCCACAGGTGGTGGCAGGACCCCTAGGACCACATCCCTGTGTGTCCAAGTCCCCTGAGGAGCATGAGGTGCTGGAGTAGCCCTCCTCTAGCCTCAAAGCTGTTTCTTCATTGATTAATAGCAGATAATTAATTAATGAGGGGCCAGCTTTACCTCTGGGCACTGTGGGGACAGATTCACAAAGGTTTCCAACAAGGACATCTGGAAGCACCTCAGGCTGGAGCACATCTGGCAGCACGGACCCTCTGAAACGTGCGCGGATCAGGAATAACAACTGATGTCTCAGATCAAAAGATGCTTTAATTTCACTGCCTTTAACATAAACATCCATTATTTGCCTGTTTACTCAGGAGTAAACAGAATAAAAACAAGTGCAACTTGTAAGACTGACAAGTTTCTTTCCTTTATCTTTACCTCTTGCAATCTTACTCTGTCCACAATCCGTTCATCATTGAAATAAACTGCAGTGATTTACCGTACCACGATGTGGTAGCACAGACACACATGGCTGAAACGGCCCCATCCTCCAGCAGCGTGTCCTAGTGACATGGCAAAGGGTTGTCTCATACGAACAGCTCATTTGTGTCACATAAAGTAGATTTCTGTACAGAACTTCACACCTTTCAGAAAGCACAGTCTTGTATTTGATGTCGGCATAGACAAATCATCAGACAAAATGTGCGGCCATTGTGTGGATGGACTTGGAGGAGTGTGGGGGGCAAACAGCGCTCCCAGCTGTTTTGGGGTTAGTGGGGATTCAGATCAGCTGTGGGGGGTACAGAGACAACATTTTAGTGCTCAGGGCTCGGAGCCCTCCTCCTGTGCAGGTTTGGGAGAGGGGAGTTGCAGCATCTGTAAGCCCAGGACTGAAAGGTGAGCACTTGTGTGTGTGTTTCCAGGACTGGGATGTTAAAATTCACTTCTCTATGATGGGCTTTCCTAGCAGTTCCCTTTGCAACCAGGTGGATGACGGGGTTTATTTCTGCCATGGGGAAACACTTGAACAGTTTAAAAAGAGAGAGGGCTAGGTGTGGGTTTTTTCTTTCTTTTAATGTACAATCTCAGTTAACAGGTTTTGTTACTTTTAGCTTTCAAAGTTCAAAAATATAAACTCTCTAAAGTGCATAATTGTACTTACATTTCATATAAACTATCCGAAATTCTAGCAATATACCATGTAAACAGCGTAACTAAGCATCAGAAAATGCTACAATCTCATCAGTTTAAAAATAAAATGGACTGTTCCCTACATATTATTTATCAAGATTTGTCAGGGGCAAAACCCAGCAAAACAGATAATTTATCAGTACACAGTGCAAACAGGCTTTTAAAAATAAGCAGAGAAAACAGACTCTTGGGAAGCCTTGGCCCACTGGAAAGATGTATGACCATGAAAGAAGGGCAGGAACTGCTGCTCTTGTCCGTATAAAGAAGTCCAGGCCTGGATTCAGCAAAATGCCCAAGCTTCAGTCCATCGTAACTCGTCGAAATCCCAAAGGCAGACCAGCTCGAGGCACGAATTCATGCGTTTTGGTTTGCTGACCACCACCAAACTGAGCCAGTGCTGAGTTTTTGGTATCCAATGTCCTTTCTCGTCCTGCACTTCTACTGCTCAAGTGACACCGCGGCCCATTTGGCTCTGCTGTGACAGCCAAAATAACCAGAGAGAGGTGAGGAGGGACTCGAAGGATCCGATTTGCAGAGGCAGAGCCCTCACCTCTCAAGTGATGGAAACCCAGCAGCTCTGAAAAGCCAAGCCCCGGGTCAGCAGGCAGATCCTCCGGGCTCTTTGGAAACAGGCAATTCAGTCTTTCCTGGTTTTATGTAGAATGGGAAACTCTGCCATCAGTCAAAAATGAACCACCTGGGAGTGCTTCCACCAACCAATGCACACCACTGCCTTACCCAGCCAGATGAGCAATGGGCATCTGCAGACCCCTGGGAGAAAGTTGCCTTTGGAAGTGTTTGTGGGATCCTGAAGAGACCAAACACCCTTCAGCATCAGTTTTGGCAAGAATTAACAGCACATACAGCAAAGGGAACAGGGTAAGTCTAAGTACCACAACCCAAATACATCTACTTCTGAGCCCACTTGCCCATATAAAGAAGGAAGAGGGAGAATTTCTAGGAGCCCCCTTCTTGCCTCCTTGTGTGAGGCCTGGCTAAGATGCCTGGCACTGCATTTGCTCTCAGCCATTTGGCTTGGGCACATCAGCTCCCCAAGGGATCAACGCAAAAGCGGGCATTACTGAAATGCTCCCCCTGGCACGGCGCAGAGCCAGTTGGTGCACACGAGCCCAGGAGCAGGAGGGTGAGCCCAGCTGGCCCAGGACTGTGGGACTGTGAGCCCACAGCTACTTGGTGCACTCCTGCACTTGCTGCCTTTCACCTCTTCAAGTGTCTGTCTGTCATGAAAACCTAAACCAGGTGTCCCAGGGCTTGCTTTTCTGAAAGTCCTCAATGAATTTCAAAATGCTGAATTGTCAAAACCTGCACCTGAGACATGGGCCCTTTCCACAGGCAGAGCATGGCTCCAGGCTTTCGGTTCCCTGCAGCATCCTCTGTGCTGGTGAACCACCTACACAGCCCGGGAAGAGATGTCATCCTCTGCTGCCACCAGCAGTGTCATTGCTGCAGCCTACACAGCCTCATGGTGTACGTAAAAGAACAAAATTTAGGCTAGCGAGTATGCGTGACACCCACCTGGACTGTTCAGCCTGGACTCACGTTTGCATCAAAGGAAGGAGCACACGTACTAATAGGGTGGCCCTTCCAGATACCACACATTGAGCTGATCAGCTACCAAAATCCCAAGGGATTCTGACTTAAAGCTTTTCAAACCTCTTCACGGTCACGTTACAGTGTCACCTTGCAAGTGGAAAAAGCCAGCAAGAACCCCTGCATGGCTTTCTCTGCTATCCCAAACAGATGGAGGTTCTCTCTTCTACTTCAGTTGACTTTGCCATCACAAATACGGGAAAAAAACCCAACTCAAGCCTAGGCAAAACTGCAACTCAAACCAGCTCTGTATGATGACCGGGAGATTCTTACAGCGTTTGTCAAGAGCAACAGAAGATGCTGGACTCTAAACAGGTCAAAAGCGTGAGCAAATCTTTACTGTAGCTACAAGAGAACAGCCTGGGTGCTGTCTGACCTATGCCTCCACACCACATCGGTCAGGGCACTTCTCTTAAACTAAAGTAGAAGCTATTTGATGATTTAATCACTACTCATTCTACTTTGCCTCTTGCTATGATATCCTGGGGAAAAAAAAAAAGAATAGCATGGCTGGCTGGGATATTCTGAATGTTACAAGATCCGTAAGCAAATCAAAAAGAAGGATCCCTTCAGTCCAGTCACTGAGCGCAGCGTCACGGCTCCTGCACTGGCAAACTCCACTGTGGGCAGCAGGCCTGGAGAAGGGGTGGGCAGCAGCAAGTGCGGAGCAGAGGAAGCCGCCCTCCCTCCCTCTCCCACCTCTGGGAAGGGCCCCCTTCAGTTCCCAGGGAGCTCCTCAGCCCCAGCCAGGCTCCCGCTGCATCCGCTTCATGCATTTGTCCATTTGGGGCTCTCGACTCTCTCTTTACTGGCAAAAATCATCTCCTCCTTTACATGATCTTGGAGCTAATATCTCTCTTGCTGATCAGGACCTCCAGCAGCCTCAGCTTGGCCTTGATCTGCTTGTACTCGTTGTATTCTTCAGCCATGGGAGCGCGGTCTTCTTTCTGCACGTTCCTAGTGGGAGCGAAAGCGGATGGTGAGGATTTCTGTAATGGGAGGTCTTCCCTCATCACCCTCCCCCTGTCCCCCAAAAACCAGCTCCTTTCCTCTACTCCCCATCGGGGAGCAAACCCAAAACTTCCATCCTTTGAGAAGAAAAAAACAAAAAGAGGGGCAAACAAAGTGCTCCAAGCAAGCGTGGGACAGTTGCACATTGAGGCTGAACACAAAACCATGGTGCCAAAAGCAAAACCTGATTTGAAGTGTGCCCTACTTCTCCGAAATTGCCAGCCTCTACACAACCATTGGAAAAACGTTTTGGGAGCCATCTGGATGTCAGCCTGCTACCATGGCAAAATAAAACACAGCTCCCTCTGGCCTGGCACCGCATCACTCCTGTGAACAGGCTCACTTGTGCAAAGGAAGATGCTATCTGCTCAGATTGCTCTTGGCTGACGTGAAACTTGTAAGTTTTCAGTGATTTTACAGGAACCTCTAAGGATGATGGCTGGTGGCAAGAAAATAACACGATAATTTAAAAGTGTAAATGTATTAAAACATTTTATCAGGTCATTATTGAGGGGTATTTTCTGAAAATTATAAGCCCAGCCGCACTAAAGCAGAAATACTTCGTAAACTGGTGTCTAATGGGACAGAAGTCTGAGCACATCATTAGGAAAAACTCCGATTGTTTTATCACTGAGAAACTCTTCCATCGTTCCTGTCAGCTGGATTTTCACAACCTGTGCCTTTGCTTCCCCCTACTTGTCCTAAGACAGGGTTTTCAAGGAGGCTGTGGTCCCTCAGGTTCTTTGGATGGGGGCAGGAGGGGGGAGTAATTAATTTTAATGGTCAACCGTAACGAACGTAGGGAAAACAGTGATGATGAAGAAACATGTAATAGTGGATTTGGGTAACTTCCCATTTTTGGAGGTCTTTGTAGATGCCAAACAGGTGAAAAGTAGCTGAAGGACAGAGAGACAGCTGAGAAATGATTACCTTCCGTTCTGTCGGAAAAAATTATCTTCAAAGTCTCTCAGTTTTTTCCTGATTCGCTTTTTCTCTTCCCTGACTTCCTGGAGCTGCTCTAACAGTTCAGGGCTGTTGGGTTGAAACATAAACATGATTATTTGTATGCACACAATTATAACAGGAAGCACACAGTAAATCTACATATTTATGGCAGTATGCATGCCAAGCAGTAGAGCTGCTCCTGCAAGCAGCTCTGGCAACCTGACATTATTGGAAACAAAAAGCTCTGAACTTAGTCCAGCAAAACAACCACACTCAGTGTGCACTTCACAATTCACTGCTGACTTCTGTGGAACTTCCTTGGTGAAGGTGGGCCTGGTTTTGGTGACTTTTTTAGGATTAAGATTCAATGGTCACGACTGAAGGCGGCCACCCCTGTGTGTTTTTATCAGACCTAGCAACGTTCAATTTGACCTCTCCAAAACCTGAAAAACCTTGCGGAGTACAGGGTTGTTTTCATGGTAAAGGCTTGGCACTGGTGAAGTGGAGCTACAATTTAGGGCTAGAATCCAAAGATGCAGAAGTCAAATATCAGGACAAGATGGTTTCTTTCCAAACGTTTTCATATGAGGTTCTATTGCATTTAAAAATAAAGCATAAAAACGTCTGACTCAGATCATAGATGGAAAAAAAATATAAAATCCAGACACTTTTCTGACAAAGAAAATGCTATCTTAGCAAGAAATAACTTTGTGAAGCTGCCTGTGAATTCAACTTACATGGATGCTTCGTGGAGATTCGAAAGCCCCATGTCCTGGCTGCTCCTCGATGGCATCTTGTCATCCACTGGGGAAACGAAGCCGTCGGCGTCGTCCTCGAGCTGGTCCAAGAAGCTGCGCACGCTGAAATCTGTCTTCATGGTAATGGTGAGATCGGGCTTCACGTTGCTGTCCTCCTCGGAGCCCTCCTCTTCCTCCTGCAGAGGGACAGAGCACCCCCACACCAAAACAGGTCACTGCTTCTGTCCTCAGAGAGGAGCCTCCTCTCGCCACATGCACCGGGGAACAGGGACGAACAAAGTGGAAAGGCAGAGCAAGCACTTGGTTGCTAAGCAGTACAGGACACCAGGAGACCGTCAGTGAGACACCCTACACCCAAAACACATCAGAGACACCACGACCACCAACTCAGATTGCTTAAAGAGACCCAAGGCAACAAAATGCAGTGAAAAAACACCTGGGGGTCTTATCAACCCACTGCTTTGATTTATGTCTTCTGATGTGAATAAAAGCACAGTCATTAGGCACAGCAGCCATCCTCCGTGCTTCCCTACAAATACACCTGCAGCACGCAGACTGCCAGGTTAAAATGCAAAATACTCTCTCAACAGATGCAGCTCAGCAGCTCTCTCCAATGGCCGAATCAAAGACCTCAGGTGCACACGGTGCGATATCGATGAGCTCAGATCAGTCTTTGAATTCCCCAAATGTGGAATATCACTGGCTGCAGGACTGCTGTTGCTAACGTGTTCCCAACATCGGCTCTGTGCCCTTTAGCTGGAACACACTAAAACTCAAAGAGTGGAAACACTCTGCCCCGTGCAGTTTCCCCAAAGTACACTCATGAATTAGTCATGGTCAATGTTTTTGCAAAATTTACAGGCACAAGATTTGGCAGCCTCCGCTGCATTTGGTATTTGCTAATTTATAATGCTCCCAAATACAGGGCTTGGCCTGTGACGCTGTCCAGAAATCATTGGGATTTTCAGGGAACAGGGCTCAGTTTTCGAGGCAGTTTTCAACCTCAGTGTAAGGAACAACACACGAGCATTAGAGGAAGGTAATAAATGCCAGGATGGACAGTAAGTCTCTTAAATATAAATGTATGGAGATATGTATATGTATATGTATATGTATTTTTTTTTACAACCATGTAAGTCTAGCCAGGAAGGACCTAAGCACATGCATATCTTTAAGAGCTTTTGAGGGCCAATATCACTGAAGTCTTCAAGTCTATCCAAAAATATATTGTTGCACTGGGATCAAAAGCAGCCTTTTTCTCTACCTTTTTCATGCCATTCCCTGTGAATGGTTCAATTATTCCTACGAGATTGCTCCCATATTTCAAGCAAAAAGGGAGAAAGTAACCCTAGGACCTGGCATCATCCCATGAAATCCTCAAAGCCAATGATTTATAAACGCATATATTTACATGAAGTCAGGGTTTGCCCAGAGTTTTCTTTCTATGTTTAAGCTCTAGGCCATGAAAATGCGATGCAAAGCCACAGGTTAAGACTTATAGCTGAGATGGGAGGCTCGAGGGTGAAAACCAGATTAGCTGGGGAGAAGTTTTGAGTAATAACAACGATAATAAAAGACATAGAGACATTTGAAAACATCTCAGGAAAACCTGCAGGGAACTTGTGTGAGTGAAGGCAATATTTAGTGTATGATTAGAAAAGACCATTTCTCCAGATGTAAATTGTATTGTTTAAACAGATGGCATTAAACAGCGGTCATGTACTGTCCTTAAACCCTGCAAACAGCTTCAGGCTGGGCAAGGGCGAGTGGGACTGAAGCAGGAGAGCACTGATCCTGCTGGCATGGAGGGCGATTTGCTACGTCGATCTAAGCAGCAAAAATGGTGTGCTTTAATTTAGGGGAACCTCTGGCACCAAAGGCGGAGCTCCTGTGCCCTCTCCCAGGTCCTGGATTCCCCTTCTGGAGAGAAAGGGACGTTTTCATGGGCAGTGACACAGACTGCTCCCGCGGGCAGACGCAGGTGTGTTCCCATCGCCCCTCTCGCTGCCCACGCCAGCACGGATTTCTCTGGCCCAGCGCTCAGGAGCAGCCTCCTGCCAATGGAAGCCCAGGGGAGGGAAAGACAGCACAGAAATGTCACTTGTTTAGACCTCAGTGCCAAAACACCACATCTGGCTCTCACAAGGCCTCTTAAAGCATCTTGCTGTTTAAATGAAGAGCACATTGAAAGGATTCTTAGTGAAAGCTTGAATGGAAATGGCCATTTAAGGCCTTCATTTTGAACAAGTCTCACATGGGAATCTTATTTGAAACCTGCACTGGCATTTATACCTCGAACCAGAGCGCTCTTCATTGACTAGATCCACTTGGCTGTATCTGCTTGGACCTTTAGGCAATCGTGAGGCATTTACATTTTCCAGAGTAACAAATACAAAATCCCAGCAGGCGAGCTTTCCAGTGCTTTTTTCAACACTGACAATATTCAAAGATATTGTACCCGAATATTTGGTAAGGCTTCACCTCAAATCACCTTTCTTCAAGCTTTTATCCAACTCTCCCAAATGCTTCTAAAAAACCCAAACCAAAACAAACCAAAAACGCCCAAATCAAAAAACCTGACAGTGTCAGTGGCCTATCAAGATACACAGTGTTCTGCCCACAGTGGACCTATGCAGGGGGTAAGTTTTGGGGCCTTTTGGCAATTTCCTCTCTTTAGTTTTGAGTGTAGCTCGGTACAAAGCTACAGCCCAGCTTCACAGAGCCCCATTTCAGTGTTCATGGTCACCAGAGACCACCATAATCTATAGCTGTAAGTTTTGACCTGGGGTGCAAGCACAGGTGAAAAACAGAGGACACCCTAAAAGAAAGAAACCCAAACCAAACCAAAACACCCTCCACCAGAGCACTGATGCCGTTTTGGCCCAGCAGTTGTCTAGCAAACACTGAGAGCTCAGTGATGACGAACCAGCCTCCCCACAGGAGCATCACACCTTCAGTCTGCAGCCTGGTTCTGATGCGTACGTGCTTTGAGCAGTCCATTCGTATACAACCCACTGTAAGTACCTACTAACCAAATCACGCTCAATGGCCAGCTCTGCAGTATTTACACCATTAAACAAACTGGCTGGATGATGGGTGAGTGATCCAAGTGTGCACTTCTTTCCCCTATGACACTGGATGGGCAAAAAAACCAAGCCAGGGCCCAGCTCCACGCTGCACGTCCTGGTCAATATTTGGACATCCCTCCTTGGGGAAATAAAGCCCAATATTGTGGCATTCTTCACCACCAAGAATGACCATCCCACAACAGCACCAGAAAGAAACACAACAATCCTGCCATCCAAACCTGACCAAGTGCTAACTAGCAGAACCGAGTCGTTCCTATTTCCATCCTCATGTGATCTGGTTCGAAATACCACACGGAATATCACACGGTGGTGACAGAAAGCCCTGGATGAGATAAGCACGTGACTGGGAGTAGGTAGGGATCCCGTAAGTGCCCCGCTTGGCTCCACGTGCGAGTGTTAGTTTTGTGAGAGCTCATTCCTGCCATGGTGCAAGCCACAGAGCTTCGGAGTGAGAGAAACTACCGCCAAACACATTAGTGTCATTAAAAAGCAAGAAAACAGCAAGGTACAAAGGTAACAGTGACTTTTTTTTTTAAGCAAATAAAACACATGTGCAGGAGGAGGGGGAAGGAGAAGGATGGGAAAGAATGCAAAGCCAAGGAAACACTGTAGTCTTATCTACGACAAGGGAAGAATTTGATCAGAACTGGCGAGGCTTAAAGCAGCTACTGATTTTTCAGGAGGACACTGCAAAAAAAAAAAATCAACACTGATGGGAAAAAATATCAATCGATCGATCGTTTTCATTGGTATAAGGGGAAAATTGATGCAAACTGAGCAATTAGTTAGCAGCTGGAGGTCTTCACCTTTATCTCCTTGAAGAAGGAAGCTGTTTCGCCCTCGATAATTGGCTGCAGCAAAGGGCTTCTCCGCTTGCTGGAGGGGGAACCCTGTGACAGGTGTTAACAAGTACGTTACATTATGAACCCCTTTCTCCTCCACCACCTGCTCTCAGCTCATGCTCACCCACACATTCACTCTCAGCTCATCGCTGGACCATCAGGAAAAAGCTATTTCTTAAAGAAGAGAAACATGCCTGGCGAAACCCCTGAACCTGGGGCTGTTTTCTGTAAGGATGCTGCTAAGCAAGGGACATCGCTGTCAAACGCTTTTAAGAAAAAGGCTTGTGTGCTGGAATACCAGCTGGGAAGGAGCTAGAAAGTAAAGGCTGCAAGAAAATCACCCCCAGCCTGAGGCCCATGCACACACACAACACAAGAGGTTGGCTCTCCACAGCTGTGCTGAAAGCCCAGCTCCGCTCTCCAGGAGCCTGCTTTCCACTGAAGTGTCTCATGATGCAGAGATGGATTTCCAAATGTGTCCTGCCTCTGCACGAGCCCCTCTCGCTGCTCTCACTGGAGGGGCTGGGCAAAGCCAGTCTTGTCTCTCCTCTGCGAGCCACTGTGCCATTTCAGTTTTGCGTCTAAGCAGGACCTGAGCTCTCCTTTGAGAGCTCTGTGTTAAACTGCCCATGCACAGCCACATGGTTTCTTCCTTCTGATTGCCAGCACCATCTTCACAGCACACATTTCAGGGAGTACTTTGCATATTCAAGGAGGACCACCTCCTACTTGTTGCAGAAAAAAACCCCACTTCTCAGTGTGACTGCACTGAGTAATGCCGTGCCTGTGCATTCACTTCACCGGCCGTCCACAAAAAGAGGCCAGGACATAAGTGCTGCTTGGGAACAGCAAAAAAAGTAAAGGATTGTATGTGACAGAGTAAATAAACAGGAACCACAATAAAACAATTCTCTTTCCATAGAAAGGCTGTAAGTGTCCTGTGTTTTTTTGGATCAAATATTTTTAAAAAAGTGGCCTACACAAGTTGTCTAAAATTAGAGGCAGTGCATTCGCTCCCTAGAGGGGTGTATTGGATTCCTTGCTGGTGGTGGTGTCTCCTTGACAAAGCACCACCTCAAATGAGGGAATACCCAGCACTTGCAGGATCTCTTTAATACAAATTGTTGGGTGTTGGGAGACTGCTGGCCCTTTCTCTCAGCCAAGGAAACTGGTACCTCCTGTGGGACCCACACGAGTCTGCGCTCCTGACATACAACCCTGTGTAACCACGCAGCATGGAAGACCTACAGCTCAGAGTGGATCGGTAAGCAAAGGGAAGTGAGGCTGTAGCCAAACACAAAATGATGAAATAGCAGCAGCAGCCCAATGGAAAGAGGAGAAACAACACAAGGTGAGATGTGCCCCATGGCTCACGGGTGGGCACTGGAGTCCCTTGGCCAGCTTTGTGTCACTGATTCACTCATTTACTTGGTCTTTGAGTGATGAGGGAGGTCGGGACTTGCCCTTACTGACTGCATTGTATGCACAAGTGTGGTGATGCCTGTTTCCTCAGCTTGAAACCAAAGAAACAGTCCCCAAAAGAATGCTCTACTCACAATAATAGGGATGGTGTTGGCTCTGGAGAGGATCTGCTTGACCAGGCGGTACCTGTCATACAACGGCTTCATCACCTGTCGTTCATTTTTGGTAACCTGAAAAGGAAGAAGAGAGATCCATGAAGCCTGCAGCAGATACTCCACTCTGTAATGCACGTGCCTGTAATCACTGCTCGTCAGAAGAGGCCTGAAGGGAATTTCATGAGGTTGAAAGGTTAGCAGTGTTAGCCCTGAAGCTGGTAATGCAAGTGCCTGTGTACATCACTGCACCTCCCGTCCTGGGTGCCAGACGAAGCAGCACCCAAGCTGGGGGTGTCTGGTGCTGTGGCTGTGAGACAGGTGGTTTAAATGACCAATGTGGGTATCGCATGTCTGCAGCACAACACAACCCAGGGAGGCAGCAGTCTGTGCGTGTAACCACGTCTACCATTGTAAGGCACAACGTGAGGTCTCCCATCCTTGTTCTTGTGGCTGGGACCTCAGAGGTAGTGTTTGACCCAGGAGAGAAAGGAGCTGCAAGGACTGGATCCTGCAACAAAAGTAGACTTTCCCAGGGTAGGTTAAACTACAGATTTCACAAAAGCTGACCTTCTGGCTTTGCTGTTCTTCCTAATTTCCTGTGCAAGCCAGCAGTTCTTCATCTTTTAACACCCTAACATTGCCCTCCACCGCTCCCTTCCCACAGCCTTGCTGGGGAGAAGTTACCACAGCGCTGAAAAGGGACGAAGGTGCCAGGGCTGTGTGGCACAGAGAGGACAGAGGAGGGCTGTGATGCCCTCCCCAAGCCTTCCTTACTCCAATCCCAGCTGTATGTCCTGCTCCCTCCTCAGTTTGAGAGTGCTCATTTCTGTTTTTCTTTCAGACCCAAGGTAAACCAAAAATCTCAGCAGTACTGAGAGTGCAGGAGAAGGGAAGATCGAACAGAAAACAGCTGGTGTGGGAAAGGTCTGTTCAACTAAGGACTGGTTGTGAGGAAGCTGGGGTTTATTTCTGCAATGTTTTGTTACAGTAGGGTTAGAAAACAAACAATACTTGGCAGAGCCAACGTGATCATCATCTTTCTTTGTATTCAGCACTGTCTGACCCACATCCTATGACTGTCCTTACATTAGATCTTTTGTCTAACTTTAGATGATAAAACTCTTATGAAGGGCAGCTTTAACTGATTCTGTTGCCATCCCTATCTTCAAGGCTTTTTCCTGCTTCTCATCATGAGAGCATCTGGAAAACTGCCATATGAAAATGAACATCAATAGTGTAACCCCCAGCGAGCTTTGTACAGTCTCCCTTTCTATGATAGAATAGGAGGAAAGGGAATACAGCTTGAGACAGGGAAAAAATAGTAATATGAACTGTCTTTTGTCTGCGTTTGACTTTCACCGTAGGAAGTTTTCCAAAGCTTTCACATCCTCCCTCCAGAGCAGGAGGGGGTGTTGGTTTGCAAGGGGCAGAGGAGCTGTAAGTATTGCCACCAGTAGGACTGGCAGGGATGAACTCCAACAATTTGGAGGTAGCCTCTTCCTCCTGATAACCAAACCTATTTCCTATGCTGGGGGCAGATGAATAACGAGGAAGGAGGAAGACCACCTTTTTATTCCTGTCTGGGTTCAGTGCAAACATCCCCAAGGTCAGGGGCATACGAATGGGCAGGCTGAGCTCTAGGACCTGTGTGTCCCACACCTCCAGAGCAGAGCTGGGCTCCAATACCTGAGAGCCTTAAAGCTGGCTGTGCACTGAGTAAGCAGCTCGCATGGATTACAGAGACGTGAGCAGCATCACACAACTCACTCAGTCCTCTCTGTACTGAGTTTTGTGTGGCTGTGTTTGTATTCAGATGTACTGGCTAGCAAGTTGACTCCAACTCTGGACCTTTCTCTCCAACAGATCAAGCGTATCACTGGAGAAGCTGGGTAGCCTATATACCTGTTATATACATATATAAAAATATATATAAGTATTTTTCCTAGCTTTACTAGGTTAGCAGTTAGGAGAACAGGAGGCACAGCACAACTATTGGCTCAGTCAGTCTCTGTTACCAAAAAAAAAACCCAACAAAAAATCCCCCAAAACACTATGCTGAGGCTGAGAGAACCAAACCTTCAATTAACAACATTTTTCAAAGTCGATAAATAGCGCTGTTCTGTACAAAAAAAATAAACATAAGCCTTGGAATGGGCAAAAAATCCTTAGATAAGTTGAAGAATGGAAAAAAATAAACACCATGCATCAGTGACCAACCATCAGTATGGAGGAAGAACGCAAAGAATTAATCTAGGCATTGGAAATAAGTGTATGGGGCCCGAGTCAGCCCTGCAGACTTACAGCAGCGCGCTTAACAGAAAGCAGATTCTGAAAGAAAACGTTTAGCACACGGGCGAGGTGTCCCACTAGGTAAACATGAGTTATCCCAGCAAAACCCGAGTATATTTTGGGAGGAGATCCAAATGCAGAAAGGCTGTTGGAAGAATGGAGGCTTTGACATGGCTGTGGGGCATGCTCCACACGGCAAAGGAGCAGCAGGCAGGAACAGACCGCTACCCGCATTGTCAGAGCGGCTCCAGTGTTTCTGCAGAGTTGGACTTTTTGGCTTCACTAAAACAATTCAGTTCCACCTCTGCAGGTTCATCTATCACTGGTGCAGAAAGACCCAGTTGCACAATAAATCTGAGCTCCATTGTTTTTCTTGTTTAGTTAAATATCTTTAATAATAAAAAAAAATACTTGGCTGAACTATCCCCATTCTCCTCAAGCTCTCAGTACTTTTCCACTGCTGTAGCGCCAGGAGCTGGGAACAGCAAAAGCTGATCAGCTGCAGCCTTCCTTGCCATGCGGTGCAGTGTTGCTAGGTATAGACTGCTTACTTAAAAACAAACAAATGCAAAAGCAGTTGCATAAATAAAGCATCAGAAAGAGGACGGGGGGAAAGGTATGCTGACAAGCTAGGCTCTCGGCTTGTTCTCTTCTTAAACAGATTTAAGTGAGTTCAATTCAACAAGATGCCACCTGTTGATTTACATCACTGCAAAAGCAGAGTTGGTCTCATGGAGAAGACAGCGCAAGTTAAGTGGATCCCCTTGTGCTGGCCTTTAGCTGTTTTACACAATAAAACTGCATGACCTCTCATACAACTACACCATTCTCAGCTGTTGATATATGTGACTGGACAATATTAGCACTTCATGAAGGCATTCAAATAAATTAGTGAGACTTTTTTAAAACAATAGACAGAGAAGGAAATCATTCAGGAGCACAAGGAAGGAAGATATCAGGAATCCCACGCAGCAGCAGAATGACAGGATTTGTCAGCTGCACTAATCAAGTACTCCTGAGGAGCAGTAATTTGCTGCTCCCAAGCCACCACTGAAGAGATTAGCACCGCTCTGAAATTAAGTTACTTTACCTGTACAGCTGGTAGCAAAGATTATAATGTCATCAGTGAAAGAGAAGGAGGGATTCAAACAAAGCCAACTTGGTGGCCTGGAAGCCACTGTGTTTCTGCCATGGCAGGAAACAGCAGGACACAATACTTCATTCTCTGTCTTCATTAATTTTCCTCTGTTAAGATCAAATGTGCAAGAAACCTCATGCTCTTCCCTTCCACTGGCACACAGCAAAAAACATTAGTTTCTCAGGGGAAGAATGAAATCTGCTCTCAACTTAGGCTGTGATGCTCAGGAGACAAACTGTTTCATTAATATCCTTTGGCACAAGAGGACTGCACAAATAGCAAGCTGCAGGTGGCCCCCTGCAAACAGCAGGATGCTGGCAGAAATACGCTGTATCTTCTCTAAGCAGGAGTGATGTCTGCACACCTGTCTTCCCAGTTAGCCATTAATACCAGCAAATGGCAAAATTCCTGACTGAATGGGGACCCACACACAACTATTCCAAAACTGGTGAGTCAGCTGGGCCACTAACAGGATGTCTGTGGATCCTGGCGAGCGTGATGCCAAAATAATGCACATTCAGCCTCATTCAGCCCCCATAGGCTTGGGATCTTACAGGTTTCTGCCAAACCAGCGCTGGGTGCAGACACCTGGCTGAGGACAGACTCCTCCCCAGCAGCGGTAGTGAAGGATCAGGGAGGTGGATTAGAGGATGCACATGTGGTCTGAACAGTGAGAGGTTCAAAGCAGCATTAGAGGGATCATTTACTACAGACAACGACATATAAAGATGTACTTTGAAAAGCATCCTGTGTACGCACCGGTCTGCCATGGATGCTTTCGTAATACAGCAAAGCTTTTTGAAGAGCCACTTTTTCAGCTGCTATCTGATCTCTTGTCATGTCCTGTGAAGAGCGGCACAGAGAGAGAGAGAGGGAAGAAAAAAAAAAAATTCAGATTCTTGGACTCTAACAACATTGTTCTGCAGCCTAACCAAAGCCATGCCATTTTGCCATTAATGTTTTGAAGACCCAGCTCTGCCTTCCAGCCCTCTTTTCCCAGCTATATTGCCAAAGAGACTGTTAACAGTGGCACCTTATGCACAACACAGGCAGATTAAACCCATACAAACTTTGCATATGAAGGTATCTTATGTACATAAGGGGGATTTATCAATTATCAGTGTGCTCTGAAAAACCACTGGGATGCAACTCCTTATGACTGTGGCTCTTTTTCAGTTAAGATCTGAAGTGAAGTTTCTGTAACAAAACACATGTTCGTTCTTGTTCTCCAAATCCAAGACAAGCTGCAGTACCTGCTGCAAAGCCCTCTTTGCTTTGACTGCCACAAATACACTTTACCAAGAAGTGAAGCTCAGCCAGACCGTCTCCTTCTGCCAATTCTGCCACGGAGTGGAAAGCTCTGGCAGACAGGCTGAGGGGACCAAGCCAAAAAACAGGGCAGACAGTTGGAGACTTCCCTAACCAAGTTTGCCAGAGCTCCCCCACTGAACTTGCCTGACACTGAACTTTCTCTCCCTACCAAATACTACCACAGGCCCCCTTTGAAAGGCCAGGGTGTGGATTCTTACTACTGTCAGAAAACTGCCAAACACACTCTGTGTGTATCTTCTTCTGCAGATCTAACAAAGATAATGCTGTCTGCCTCTCTCTACAAAGCGCTGCACAATTTACGGGCCAACAGACGCAAGGACTTTACTTACAAGGCTGCCCAAACCTCAGGAACCAGCACCATCAGACACAAAGACAGCTCTGCTGATAACCCTCAGAGATTACTGCAGCTAACAAAGCTCAGTGTGAAACTTTGAAGAGCAGCGATAAAATGTCCCACAGAAGAGCACTCAGCTCTGGAGTGTGCTCTAAGAAAGCAGACGACTTAATCTCTAGAATCACTGGAAGGCTGAGAATTTGCCAAAAGCCTTTGGACATAACAACAGAAATAGCCAAATACAGGGCAGGAAATATTGCAATAGTTCAGAAACGTTACTTGGAATATTCAGGGATCAGCAAAAGAGCACACAATGATGTTCATTAGAAACCAAGCTCTGGGAATAAAAAACCAACAGATACTAAAGGCAGAGGGAAAGAAACTGAACCAAGTGGGCTAGGAGTAAAGGCTGTAGACTTTGTGACACAGCAGAGGAGACCACAGGGCTTTTGCAAGTGACTCTGCAGCCACGAACTACATACTTGTACTTAAAGGCCTAAATCCAATCTGCCTGCATTGTACCTTAATATCCTCAGGTCGGTTTGTCTCTGTTCGCTTTTCCTGAAGCTTCTTCTGGATAGACTCAAGGGTGGCTTCCACAGCAGGCTTGGCAGATTTCTCTGACAGGTCTTGCTTCTTGTCATCCTCCTTTTCGAGCTGAGAACCGAAGCTTTTGGGGAGCGTGTTGCTCCGCTGACGCACAACAGGGCCAAGGTCTTCCTCCGATATCTTCAGTTTTGACTCTAAACATTTGGGGAAAGAGAAATATTTTTTCTTTTTTAAAATGAGAGTGACAGGATTGCTACCTAACATCAAATTCAAGTGAGGCAGAGTCTAGCCGCCCCCTGAGGTGCACCAGTGGCGGCTGCTCACCTTTAAGCTGCTTTCGGAATTTGGCCAAATCATTTGTCCATTTGAGCACTTCAGGGTTGGCTGCTTTGTCGCTGTGGGAAGGCTGGGAGGAAAGAACAGTCAATGCTGAATCTGCACTAAACCAACAGGAGAGACCCACTGAAACAAGCGAGTGTCACAGAAAACATACAACAGAATCTGGACCCAGCAGGGGCACTGGGTTCTGATGAGCACCTGCACACCTCTGACCAGCTCATGTCAGACCTCCTGCCTGTCACAACACTGTCTGCTAGGGGCATCATGAGATTCATTTTCTTTCTAGAAAACACACAATTTTTGACGGCAAACATTAAGTTGTAGGAGTGTCTCAGAAGGCCAGATGCACATTAGAGTCCTTGTGCCTGTTGTTGACTAACAAGAGGGCACCTCCAAAACAGAGAAAGCCCAGAATGAACAGTTTGAGAGGTGTTGAAATCCATGCATCCATACCAAAGGCTGCTTTACAACCAGAGACACTGAAATAACCCAAATGCTAGCTTACAGCAAGCTCTGCACGTTTCTTCCAGCCTTTTCCATGGCAGACAAGATCCTGTGAGTACAATCCTTTGTGGTTTAGAGCACCAACAAAGATGCACACATCCAAAGCTTTAGCTCCTTAAAAAGCTTCCTGTGCATCTGCGCATCGGAAGGGCCTGTCAGGAGTAATCAGAGCACAGCACACGGCTACTGCTCAGCAGCACCTGACTGGCTCCTTGCTCAGGAGTAAAGGCAGCTGCTCTCTCTCCTCTGCAATGCACTGGTGTCCTGGGATTACCATCATGAGATGCACAACTGTGCTTCTCACAAGCTGTATTTGAATAAATAAACAAACAGTTTATTTAAGTTTAACACAGCTATTCCTAAGCACTGAGTGCATGCTTTTGGCACAATGTCTTAGGCAGTGATCAAAATCCTTCAAGTTTATTAGGCTATCTCTTGTGTTGCACTGATAGCACATAATGCCTGGAAACGCAATTTGCTTGGTATGGATGCACATTTTCCTTTTTTGGGCAGCAGCTTTTCTCTCATAAAAGCTTTCAAGCCCTCTGCATGTTTGACAGACTTCCCTGATGTCGCTTCCCTTTGTTGCTAATTCATACCTCTCCATACAAATGCTTAACTCAGAGACTCACTCTGTATTTCCTCTCCTCTTCGAATTTGTCCTCAAATCTCCTGATCTTTTTCTTCAGTCCCTGAATCCTCCGCGTGAGTTGTGCAGGGGTAAGGTCCTCTCTGTCATCTTCATAAGATCCCAGAGACGAACTCCGCCTCCTAAAAAGAGCAGAGATTGCAGGAAGAGCTTATCCAAACAGCCACCATACATCTTGCAGAGAGGGCCACTTAAACTTTGTATAAATAAAGACAAATCCCACAGAAGCGAGAAAGCTGTGTTGCTATTCTGTTATGACAGATAGCAAAAAATGCTGTAACAGTTTCTTTCAGCTAAAGCAACTCCCTAGAGATTAATTCACAAACTCAGAAGTTTTTAGTCACCAAGAATTTTTCTTAAAATGCCAGTTTCCTGTCAGTAGGAACAGAAACCCAGCACAGTACAGCCATACGGCGTATCTCATCCAAAGAGATGTTGCTCGATGCAACTGTGCAGACCATCTACAGCTGGGTGTGAGAGTCAGCACAGGCAAATCACAACCCACCTCATGAAGGAATGAGAATTGGGAGGGGAAGGAGGCACTTCTGTGTCATCCAGGTACTGTTGGCTCTGTCCATAGGCATAGAAGCGAGGGGACAGCATAGGATCACTGTCCTCGTCCAGAAGCTGGCGAATTAAGCGACCGGCCTGCGGGGAAAGGCGAGCCTCATCTGAGTCTAAGCCGTCTCGCTGCCATGAGGAAAGAGCAGGGATGGGCTCTGGGAACAGTAAGACAAAGGCTGGTTTTATCGTTTTGGTCTGACACACACGACAGACTCCAGGCCACTTTACTAATGAACCCCGACCCGTCTGTCCTGGACCACAATTGCTTGTCACCAGGCATCCTCTGGGTCATTACTCGCATCAGCCCAGCATGCAGAGCATGGCCCAAGTATTGCCTGGCCACCGTGGGTACTCTGCACGAACATAAATCATCTCCTAGGTGCAACAGAAAACTGTACCCAAAAGCCGGGCAGAAATTAGCACAGACTGACACCAAACAAGGCCATCAACTTCAAAGAAAAAGTTATGCTGGACAAGAAAAAATTATTGGCACGTGGCAGCATGAAGGAGGCAACTGGATTACAGGAGGATTTTTTTTTTCAGTTTCAGGATGCAGAAATGCTGTAAATGAGTGGCACAGAAATTGTCCTGTGTAGCCTCCAGCACT